TTATCATTTATAAAGAAATACATATGAAAACAATTTTATACTTACTAGAAACATATACTAAATTATAAAATATGTAAACCAACTATAAAGAAATTCTTATTATTTGCCATTTTATAAAGTTCGAATTGAGTAGCAATTTGTCGATGTTTTCCCAACAATATAATAAATAAATAGTACTTAATAGTAATTTAAATGTATGAATTCACTTTAATTTTATTCTTTATTTTTTATGAAATGCTACTTTCTTAAATATTCAGATTGAATTACTTTATAGTGTAGAGTCGAAATTTGGTTTCTAATGTTATTATCCCATTTTGATATTTCATACTGGATTATAACCTACGCGATGTAAAACTTGTGATTTTTGTTGTTTCCACTTAATTAAGCAAAAGAAGAAAAAAAAAAGAAAAGAAAAAAGTCACATAAATAGACAAATCTTTTCCTGGGATATGGGCTGTGTTTGTTAGAAGTATTTGTTTTATTTCCTGAAGGTGCGCCATGAATTTTCTTGATTTGTTGTTGAGTTCTTTTCTTTATCAGACACAAATCTCCAACCACAACAGGAACAGTTTTATTTTTTAAGTGCTATTTTTTTTTTCTATTTCTATCTCCAGGTCTTTATATTTACTTAGTTTTTCAAAAACCTTCACAAAGATTTTTTGTTGTTTCCACTTAATTAAGCAAAAGACAGCTATTAAAAAAAAAAACAAAAAAAAACATTACATAAATAGACAAAGCATTTCAGGGAATTGTTAGAAGTATTTGTTTTATTTCATTAAGAGAGGTTGTGCCATGGATTTTGTTGATTTGTTGTTGAGTTCCTTTCTTTATCAGACCTAAAGTTCCAACCACAGCAGGAACAGTTTTAGTTTTTAAATATATATTTTTCTATTTTAATTCTCATCTATTCGCACCTTCTTTTTCTATCCTCTGCGTCTCTTTAGAACATGGGGAATCATGACTCTCCACAAGTTTCTAATCTGTGTGGCTCTTATGTTTTTTCTCTCTTTGCTAAGGACCCCGCTTCTGGTCCCTGCCTTTCCCTTTCTCAAGTGAACTCTCATGGGACATAATGAAGTCAAATGTCTTGTGAGTACTTAGTTATCCAAACCCTCATTCCTCACTATATTTCCAAGGAATTTCAGCTGTTTTTTCCCTGATTTGGGGTAGCATTGCACTTTCTGTTGCAATTTTTTTTAATACCTCCTTGTTGCTTAATTGAATTCTCAGTATCCTTCTGTAGAACCACATTTCTGATGCTTCTAGTCTTTTTCACTCATCCTTGGGGAAATTGTCCAACTGCCATATAAGAGGGTGGATCGCATATTGCTAAACTTTTCGAATGCACTTTCGTTAATTCACTTCATGTTCGGATCTCAATGTCGCATGTTCCATCCTCTGTTAAAACGCTTCTCAGATATTTAAACTTCTATGCCTGTTGATGTTTATATCTCCAATTCGTAACTCACATATTGGGCTTTTCCTCTTGCTGATAACCTACATACTTTCTTCATGAAGTTGATGGTTAAACCTTTTTTCTCACTTTCTTCTACCATTCTGTCTGAAAGGCTCTGTAGTTTCCTTTCTGGGTCGGTCATCAATACAGGGTTATCTGTGTATTTTATGTTGTTAAGATTACGTCCACCAATAATACATCCTGGTAGGGTTTCCAGTTCCTGCTAAAGAGGTTGAATAGATGTGGGAAGAAGACATATTCTTGTCTCACTCTCCTTCCTATTTTTTGTATAGCTATTGTTTTTTTCCTGTTCGTATGTAGGCGGTTTGCAGTTTTTCAAAAACCTTTACAGACATGTTTTTGTCACTTAGTATGTTCATTTCAGTCAGTGTGCAAACCTATTCTGCTTGTCTTTGATAATAATGTCTGGGAGATTTGCTTGCTTTGTTCGATCTGTGTTAACGGAAAACTACAAAATTGTTATTATTATTTGTATATGTTATGTTTCCTGCTTCGTATCCTGTAGAGCTGAGTCCAAACTACGGTCCTTAGGTCCTATAGGAGAATTTTCATTTAATTGATAGCACTTTTCTTTGTATATGGAATGATCCTAGTAGGGCGATCTTCTGGGCAACTTGTATGTTGATGTTATCTGTTGCTAAAATCGTCCATTCCTTTTCTCGTGAACTCCAATTATTATTGGTACAGTCTTCATTCCCCCACATCTCGACCACCAGGTTCATGGAGGTGTCTCTCTCAAATGGTACTGCTATGTCAATAAGCATACACTTCCTGAATTTATGATAATATCAGGTCTGTTGGCTTTTATTTCCCTGTCATTTTGAATTGGCATGTCCCACAGGATAGTTACATCGTTATTTTGAATGACTGTGTCTGGTTGGTGGTCATACCATTTCTCAGTGGTTTCGATTTTGTGCTTCTTGATTCTGGTGTATAAATTTAAAAATCCTAATATACCTATCATGACAATCCGATAAGGGTATACGTACGTATAATTATTATTAAATGAGAGAGAAGCCCGCCAATTAAGTGACACCAGTTTTTTAATATACGAAGACTCATATACCCATCATGATACCCAATCTCAAAAGAGTATGTTAAGAACATGCAGCTCAACCAAACTGGAGTGATATAGTGACAGGTTTTTAATAAAATAAATAGCGCATAATTTTTTAAATCCATTTTGTGCTGAATTCGAAGAAATAGATATTAGATGATCGATAGTTTCGGCACGGTGGAGTAATGAATAGCGACTCGTATTGAGGAATCGGATTACCCGAGTTCGAATTCCAGTTGAATTCATTGCATTCACTTACGTGCTAATACACTTGGGAATGTTATGAATCCTATTCTTCTCCAACCAGCTATGAGTAAATAGCAGGACAGACCGGGCTCTATAGCCTTGGATGGCTATTGCTCTACCGCAGAAAGAAATGGCAACCTACTGCAGGAAAAAAATCTGCCTCGTTGGTCATGTATCGAAAGATACATGATCGCCTCAGCGTGTATTACGCATGGCACATAGCTGACTGACTGACGTGCTAATACCCTTGGGAAAGGTATGAATCCTCTTTTCTTCCCCCCAGTAAATAGCTGAACAGACCGGGTTCTGTAGCCTTGGATGGCAACTGGTTTACCGCAGAAAAAAATGGCAACTTACTACGGAAAAAATCTGCCTCGTCAGTCATGTATCGAAAGATACATGATCGCCTAAGCGTGTATCACTCATGGCACATAACTGCCTGAGTTATGGGATGTCGTTTTGGGTTTATGCATGCCTTGAAACATGTGCCTTGTAAGAGCTTATCTGGTTTTCAACTTGAGTTGCAAGGAAAAATTTTGCTGTTTCAGTTCAGACTGTTCATGCCTACTCATGGTCACATTTTCGCCAGTATCAGTTTTGTGTTTGTAATAATTTTTTCTCTCACAATTTGTTTTCAGGCTTTGGCTTTTTTTTTAACTTTTTACTTTCGTTGTTGATATTACATATTTCATCTTGATCAGTTTGTTTCTATTTTGTTTTAATTGTTGGATTTGTTTTATTATCTAATGTTTTGTTTTTTTTAGATGATCCACGCTGATAAACAAGCTATAATATAAAATAATTTATAAGCACTAGATATCTTGCAAATCCAATGATTGTCGTCTTTTATGTGAGTTCCATTTAAATCAACTCTCAACTCTAGCAATCACAGATGATCTACAGATGATCTACAGATGATCTATACATTTTTAATACTACTATTCACGAGCTACTCAAAGTAGAGGATTACTAAATCAGGTTGTTTTATGGACATAAGAGGAAGAGGCTTTTTTTTAATAATGTTGCCCCATACAAATCCTAAAAGCCACGAGAGATATATAGGGTTACTGAAAGTGTTTTATTTTTATTATGTGTCTGGCAAGAGTAAGTGTTTTGAAATAATGTAGTTTTGTGATGGTGAATTATTATATATAGAGGGCCGCAAAAGTAGGTATACACTAAGTATTATTATTGACTATTATTATGTTTGTATAATCAATGCAGTATATTGCTCCCACGTTTTGTTAAAGTATATCTACTGTTACACCCACTCTATATAGTTATATTTTCTTATATTTCTATTTATATCCTGTACCTTTACGGAATTACAGTTCATCACCCGAAGAGAACATGTATCAATAGATGTGGCAGCAATATTCAAAGCAAGTAAACTGGATTGTTCAAGAGACACATGGACTGGGAGCGGGGGTTAAAGCTTAGGGTAAAAAAGTATCTGGTTCCCAGAAATTTGTATGTCCAGTCTGATCGGTTTTTACTGCATTTTTCCATTCAGTGGAAGAAAAGGACACACGGTACAAAAGGTTAATAAGTATAATGACTTCTAACTGATTAGAAATATCTCCTTAGCACAAAAAGCGGAATTAGAACAATCTACTCCCATGGTTTGGATAAAGATTTCGGTTCACAGAAGTCTGAAGAAGGCAAGAGAGCATGAGGCCGAAACGTTCTGAAGATAACAAACAAGACAAAGATGTTAGAACTGAAAAACATATAATAATGATAATTCTTGAATTAAAAAAATTCTGCTATAAACAAGCTTGTGTTATTTCAGATAAAAGACGTTTCTTTCCTTGGATTTCATAATGTTTTTTTTTTAGTATCCTTATACATTACTAATTGCACTTATTGCTACTATAATAATGTTTTTGTCTAAATGCCATATTCTTTCAGTACCTAGATACTTGTTTGGAGAGGTTATCAGTTTTTTTATTATGTCGATATGTCCTTGAAATATTTTATTATACTGATGTCTTTGAATTATTTCATTATGCCGATAAGATATGTCTTTGAAATATTTTCTGATTATTTAATAATAGGATGATGATTACACTGTAGTCCAGCGAAAAGTGGGAAATCGCTTGACTTTTGCGTTTCCGACTCTCGGTTGTAGATTGACGAAATCTTATTCACCTACATTGAAGTATCTGGACAAGGTTTCTCAGTACGACTTCGGAACGCTTACGAAAATTTTCGATCCGAATGACGTCATGTGAGATGCCCGCAATTCTTCTTGGTTGGCATCAAGATTGGGTAGTAAATTAATTATAGCTGTAGACCAATGTACGTATTGTTTTATCTCCACCGCAACATTTCTAAGAAATAAATAAACACTATCTAAATGAAGTCAAAAAGTTTGTCTTATCTGACTTCAAAATTGTGATCCCGACATAGTACTATCATTAATTCTTGATTTTCTGCTTCATACAACTATTTAACGAGACGCTCATCTTTGATCTAAGGTAAGATAATTTTTTTTTTATTTACAAAGATATTTAAAGACCTTTTTTCTCAGTATGCAAGTTGTACTCAATAAAACAAACTTTTATTACATGCCTTACTCTTCGGATTATCATGTTATTCTCAAAACGTTTTGACCGTAGGATATACGGCATTTTCAAAATAGAGCAAGCATGTTTAGCTTAAGAATAAAACAAGCAAGAGAAATAAAAGAAGTCAGAGAAATAAAAGAAGTCAGAGAAATAAAAACAAGCGGAGAAATAAATCAAGTCAGGGAAATAAAACAAGTCAGAAAAATAAAACAAGTCAGAGAAATAAAACAAAGCGAAATAAAACAAGTCAGATATATAAAACAAGTCAGCGAAATAAAACAAGTCAGGGAAATAAAATAAGTCAGAGAAATAAAACAAAGCGAAATAAAACAACTCAGATATATAAAACAAGTCAGGGAAATAAAACAAGTCAGGGAAATAAAACAAGTCAGAGAAATAAAACAAGCAGAGAAATAAGAGAAGTCTGGGAAATAAATGAAGTCTAGGAAATAAAACAAATCAAGGAAATATTAATCTGGGCTGATCGCTATTGTTTTCACGATTCAAGGACTACTATAGCTGCCACTTCATATTAAACTAAATAGATTTTTTTTATTATTTTTATTTTTTACTTATTGAATGGTTTACTGAATTATATACTACACTACTGCTACAGTATGGCATGTAACACTTTTCGTAAGATGAATTTCGTTTTTAATAGTAGGTCTACTCTACCTTCCTTCTAATGAAATTTTTTATTTTATTTCTGTCTCTTCTTTTAATTTCAAACATAGGGATTTCTTCACTGAGAATTATTGCTGGCTGACCATTCGGTATCGAATATAATTATTCCGTTCGTATCATTTTGGTAAGATTGTTTTTAGGTTTCTGTATATAAAAAGATCGGAAGATAAGAGATTGCAACCCTCGAGTCTTCTTGTTGGCGATATTGACCAGAGTTTTCCAAGAAGCGCTAATTTCTCAAGTCGATAGTTCGATATTCTCAAATGGTCTGCGAGGCCTGATGTTATCTGTATCCTACTTCCTCTATCAGTTGCTATACCATCGTTTAAATGAGACAATCTAGGTATTCAAGTATTATATTTCTCACTGATACTTAAAGCGGGGTTCGAAAAGCATTACCCCCCCACCTCTTAGAAGACTTGATTTTAAGAACTTTTTCTCGGCTAGTGTTCATCGATAACCACCTATCAATAGATAGGAACAAGAAAATAAGTGAACAATAATAAATCGATTGCAAAATAACGGTGGAAACTACAAACGATTGTAAGAATTTGTACGTTTTAAGTAAAAAACGTATTTCTTTTCCTATTAATAAATCAGGATTTGATTGCTTTAAGAATTGAAAAAGATATTTTTCTAGTGTCTTTATTTCTGCTACAATTCGATTTTTCAGCTGTCTTCTTTTCATCAGGAATTATATTCATCCATGCTATTCAGTTCATTCTTCTTGACAATTACAAAGTATGACTTTTATGGCATCTTTTTCCGAATGCTATTCATATTTTATGGCTCTCAAAACATTTCCATCCTTCGCTTTACATCCATGAATTCTTAATATATTTTTTTTAGTTTTTTCTTGTTTTTCGTTGATTTGCCTTGTTTTCTTCTTAAGTTTTATAACTTCATTATCTATAACATTATTCATATTCTGTTGGCACATTTTTCTTCGTAAATTTCATTTACACGTTCATGCTTTTATTCTCTCTGCCAATGCTTAGAGATATTACACGTTAGTTTTCATTCCTTTTTATCCGTAATACCTTTTCTATTCGTTTAATAATATCAAATATATTTCTTTCTTTCTTTCTTTCTTTCTTTCTTTCTTTCTTTCTTTCTTTCTTTCTTTCTTTTCATTATAATAATCATTCTGTCCAAAAGTCTTTGGTAATTCATGCTAACCTTCATATGTTATAGTCTTCTGTATCACTTGAATGTCTTTCTTTCTTTCTTTCTTTCTTTCTTTCTTTTCATTATAATAATCATTCTATCCAAAAGTCTTTGGTAATTCATGCTAACCTTCATATGTTATACTCTTCTGTATCACTTGAATATCTTTCTTTCTTTCTTTCTTTCTTTCTTTCTTTCTTTCTTTTCATTATAATAATCATTCTATCCAAAAGTCTTTGGTAATTCATGCTAACCTTCATATGTTATAGTCTTCTGTATCACTTGAATATCTTTCTTTCTTTCTTTCTTTCTTTCTTTTCATTATAATAATCATTCTATCCAAAAGTCTTTGGTATTCAAATAGTCTTTGTATCACTTGAATAATTCATTATAATAATTATTCCTATCCAAAAGTCTTTGGTAATTCATAAACTTCATATGTTATAGTCTTCTGTATCACTTGAATATCTTTCTTTCTTTCTTTTAAGCTTTCTTTTTTTTTCTTTTCTTTTTTCATTATAATAATTATTCTATCCAAAAGTCTTTGGTAATTCATGCTAACCTTCATATGTTATAGTCTTCTGTATCACTTGAATATCTTTCTTTCTTTCTTTCTTTCTTTCTTTCTTTTTTTCTTTCTAAGCTTTCTTTCTTAGCTTTCTTTCTTTTCTTTCTTTCATTATTAATAATTATTCTGTCCAAAATCAATTCATGCTAACCTTCATATGTTATAGTCTTCTGTATCAAATATCTTTTTTTCTTTCTTTCTTTCTTTCTTTTCATTATAATAATCATTCTGTCCAAAAGTCTTGGTAATTTGCTTTCATATAGTCTTCTGTATCACTTGAATATCTTTCTTTCTTTCTTTCTTTCTTTTTTTCATTATAATAATCATTCTATCCAAAAGTCTTTGGTAATTCATGCTAACCTTCATATGTTATAGTCTTCTGTATCACTTGAATATCTTTTTTTTTTTCTTTCTTTTCTTTCTTTCTTTCTTTCTTTCTTTTTTTCTTTTCATTATAATAATCATTCTGTCCAAAAAGTCTTTGGTAATTCATGCTAACCTTCATATGTTATAGTCTTCTGTATCACTTGAATATCTTTCTTTCTTTCTTTTTTCTTTCTTTCATTATAATAATCATTCTATCCAAAAGTCTTTGGTAATTCATGCTAACCTTCATATGTTATAGTCTTCTGTATCACTTGAATATCTTTCTTTCTTTCTTTCTTTCTTTCTTTCTTTTTTTCTTCTTTCTTTCTTTTCATTATAATAATCATTCTATCCAAAAGTCTTTGGTAATTCATGCTAACCTTCATATGTTATAGTCTACTGTATCACTTGAATATCTTTTCTTTCTTTTCTTTCTTTCTTTCTTTCTTTCTTTCTTTTTCATTATAATAATCATTCTGTCCAAAATTCTTTTGGTAATATCTTTATGTTATAGTCTTTTTGAATATCTTTCTTTCTTTCTTTCTTTCTTTTCTTTCTTCTTTCTTTCTTTTCATTATAATAATCATTCTGTCCAAAAGTCTCTGGTAATTCATGCTAAAATAGTCTTCTTATCACTAATTCATTTCTTTCTTTCTTTCTTTTCTTTCTTTCTTTCATTTGTTATAATAATCATTCTGTCCAAAGTCTTTGGTAATTCATGCTAATGTTCATATGTTAATGTCTTGAATAATATCTTTCTTTCTTTCTTTCTTTCTTTCTTTCTTTCTTTCTTTCTTTTCTTTCTTTCTTTTTTTCATTATAATAATCATTCTGTCCAAAAGTCTTTGGTAATTCATGCTAACCTTCATATGTTATAGTCTTCTGTATCACTTGAATATCTTTCTTTCTTTTTCTTTCTTTCTTTCTTTTCTTTCTTTTCTTTTCTTTTCATTATAATAATCATTCTATCCAAAAAGTCTTTGGTAATTCATGCTAACCTTCATATGTTATAGTCTTCTGTATCACTTGAATATCTTTCTTTTTTTCTTTCTTTTCTTTCTTTTTCTTTCTTTCTTTCTTTCTTTTTTTCTTTTCATTATAATAATCATTCTGTCCAAAAGTCTTTGGGAAAACGTTCATATGTTATAGTCTTCTCACTTGAATGTCTTCTTTCTTTCTTTCTTTCTTTCTTATTTTAATTATTTAAACCTGTAAATAATTGTCGTATTATCGAAGGTATTGTTTTTCTTTTCTTTCTTTCTTTCTTTCTTTCTTTCTTTTCTTTCTTTTCAACCTTCATAAAAGTGGTAATTCATGCTAACTTCATATGTTATAGTCTACTGTATCACTTGAATATCTTTCTTTCTTTTCTTTCTTTCTTTCTTTCTTTCTTTCTTTTCATTATAATAATCATTCTGTCCAAAATTCTTTGGTAATTCATGCTAACCTTCATATGTTATAGTCTTCTGTATCACTTGAATATCTTTTTCTTTCTTTCTTTCTTTTCTTTCTTTCTTTCTTTCTTTCTTTCTTTTCATTATAATAATCATTCTGTCCAAAAGTCTTTGGTAATTCATGCTAACCTTCATATGTTATAGTCATCACTTGAATATCTTTCTTTCTTTCTTTCTTTCTTTTCTTTCTTTTCTAAGCTTTCTTTCTAAGCTTTCTTTCTTTTCTTTCTTTTCATTATAATAATCATTCTGTCCAAAAGTCTTTGGTAATTCATGCTAATGTTCATATGTTAATGTCTTCTGTATCACTTTATCTTTCTTTTTCTTTTTTCTTTCTTTCTTTCTTTCTTTTTTTTTTTTTCTTTCTTTCTTTCTTTTTTTCATTATAATAATCATTCTGTCCAAAAGTCTTTGGTAATTCATGCTAACCTTCATATGTTATAGTCTTCTGGATCACTTGAATATCTTTCTTTCTTTCTTTTCTTTCTTTCTTTCTTTTCTTTTTCTTTCTTTCTTTTCATTATAATAATCATTCTATCCAAAAGTCTTTGGTAATTCATGCTAACCTTCATATGTTATAGTCTTCTGTATCACTTGAATACCTTTCTTTCTTTCTTTCTTTCTTTCTTTCTTTCTTTCTTTCTTTCTTTCTTTCTTTCTTTTCATTATAATAATCATTCTGTCCAAAAGTCTTTGGGAATTCGGGTTAACGTTCATATGTTATAGTCTTCTGGATCACTTGAATGTCTTCTTTCTTTCTTTCTTTCTTTCTTATTTTTAATTATTTAAACCTGTAAATAATTGTCGTATTATCGAAGGTATTGTTTTCTTTCTTTCTTTTCATTATAATAGCATTCGATCCAAATGTTTTTGCTAATTCACATCTTCATAGTATTCTGTATCACTTGAATAATATCTTTGTTCCTTTCTTTCTTTCTTTCTTAGCTTTTCTTTCGCTATTTCTTTTCTTCTTTCTTTACATTATAGTAATCATTCCGTCCAAATATTTTTGATAAGTTATACTAATGTTTAAGTATTATAGACGTCTGTATCACTTGAATGTCTTTCTTTCTTTCTTTCTTTCTTCATTCATTCATTATTATTTTTTCATTCTTTTTCTTTCTTTCTTTTTTTTTCATTATAATAATCATTCTGTCCAAAAATATTTAGTAATTCATGCTAATCTTCATATGTTATAGTCTTCTCTATCACTTGATTATCTTTCTTTCTTTCTTTCTTACTTTCTTTCTTTCTTTCTTTCTTTCTTTCTTTCTTTCTTCTAACCTTCTTTTCTTACTTTCTTTCTTTCTTTTCATTATAATAATCCTTCTGTCCAAAAGTCTTTGGTAATTCATGCTGACCTTCATATGTTATAGTCTTCTGTATCACTTGAATACCTTTCTTTCTTTCTTTCTTTCTTTCTTTTCCTTTCCTTTAATTATAATAATCATTCTGTCCAAAAGGCTTTCGTAACTCATGCTAACGCTTATATGTTAGAGTTTTCTGTATCACTTGAATTTATTTATTTTAACATTTCTTACTTTTTTATCCTTTTCTTCTCAGCTATATCATGTCTCAGAACATTTTCGCTTTATTTTTTTTTCACCTGACGAATTTATTTTTGTCGGTTTATCCACTCTTGTACTCTTCTTGAAAACAGATGGAATTGCTATTCGATCTTCTCCAAGTACATGTCGCGAAATTATTGATTCTGACAATGGAAATAAATAAAATAAACGGAATAACATTTTAACAGCTGCATTTTCAATATATATTTTGATATACTCTATTCACTGACTTCTTTGTTGATTTTTCTTATTTTTTTGCGAGCATGTTTATTTGTATTTTCTGTAATTTCTTTAATATATTTCAACTTCTCTTTCTTGCTGTTTCTTGTTTTCTCTTCTCTGTTTCTTCCCTCTTCCTACAAGTCATTGAGAGTTTTATACAAGAAAGTGAATCATTACAGCGTTCTTCTACCTTAATTTCTATTTCTTACGTCCACTCTTTGCTGTATATTAATATGTAATCATAAGTTTGTTACTTTTTGTTTCATTCATTTTCGAATTTTTATTTTTCTTCCCCTCAGTATTTATCTTACTTATTTAGATATATTTCTGTTCTTCTTTAGTTTTTACGGCTCCTATTTTTAATCTCTTTTTTCTTTGTTTTTTTTTTTGTTTTTTTTTTTTTTTATATTTCTTCCTTTTTTTTTCTGTTCGCGTTAATCTATTTCTGCGAGGACGATTTTGAAACGTTATCAGGCCCGTCCCACTTCCTAAAATCTGATCAGATGACAAAATATAATATTTTTAAAATTTTATTTTTTTCTAAGTGCTTCTTGGTCGGTTTGAGAACTTTTCAACAAGTCCTCGTAATACGAAATATTCTTATTTTTCTTTACTCTTTGCTAATGGTTGTTCCATATAAATCTTCCTCCGACATTATCAGCGACACCATAATCCTCCTTCTCCTCCTCCTCGTCCTCCTCCTCATCATCATCATCATCATTATCATCATCATCATCATAACCGACGCCCCTACTTTTAAAATATTTTTCTCTTTTTTCAGTTTAATTTTTTCCTTTATCCTTCATAAATAATTCTATTTCTGTTTTCCTTGGTGCTTCTTTTTCTTTTCTTTCTTTCTTTCTTTTTTTTCTTTTCTGTCTTTCTTTCTTTCTTTCTTTCTTTCTTTTCTCTATAATAATCGGTCTATCCAAAAGTCTTTGGTAATTCATTATAACCTTCATATGTTATAGTCTTATGTATCATCTGAATGTCTTTCTTTCTTTCTATCGACCTTTCTTTCTTTCTTTTTAACTACTTTCTTCTTCCTTTCTTTCTTTCTTTTTACCTTCTTTCTTTCTTTCTTTCTTTCTTTTCATTATAATAATCGTTCTGTCCAAATGTTTTGGCACTTCATGCTAACATTCATATATTTTAGGCTTCTATAACACTTAAATATCTTTCTTTCAATTTCTTCTTTCTTTTCATTATAATAATCATTCTATCCAAAATTCTTTGGTAATTCATGCTAACCTTCATACGTTATAGTCTTCTGTATCACTTGAATTTCTTTCTTTCTTTCTTTCTTTCTTTCTTTCTTTCTTTCTTTCTTTTCATTATAATAATCATTCTGTCCAAAAGGTCTTTGGTAATTCATGCTAACTTTTATCTGTTATTGCCTTTGTATCTCTTAGATGTCTTTTTCTTTGCGCGATAATAATTTTGCTTTTCTTTTCCCTTTCTTTCATTTTTCTTTCTTTCTTTTTTCTTTCTTTCTTTTTTTATTCATTCATTATTTCTTTCTTCTATATTTTCTTTCTTTCTTTCTTTCTTTCTTTTTTCATTCTTTCTTTTTCTTTCTTTTTTCTTCGTTCATTATTTCTTTCTTTCAATATTTTCTTTCTTTCTTTTCATTATAATAATCCCTCTGTCCAAAAGTCTTTGCTAATTCATGCTAGCGTTCATATATTATAGTCTTCTGCATCTCTTTCTTTCTTTCTTTCTTTCTTTCTTTCTTTCTTTCTTTCTTTCTTTCTTTTCATTATAATAATCATTCTGTCCAAAAGTCTTTGGTAATTCATGCTAACCTTCATATGTTATAGTCTTCTGTATCACTTGAATATCTTTCTTTCTTTCTTTCTTTCTTTCTTTCTTTCTTTCTTTCTTTCTTTCTTTTCATTATAATAATCATTCTGTCCAAAAGTCTTTGGTAATTCATGCTAGCGTTCATATATTATAGTCTTCTGTATCACTTGAATGTCTTCTTCTCTTCTTAGTTATTTCCTTCTTTTCATTTGTTTCTCACGCCCTTTTCTTTTCCCGCTCAATTTTACAGTCTTTCTTCATTTTATTCTTTTGTATCTTTTCTATTCATGCTTTTTTTTGTAGTATTTTTTTTTTTTATTAATCTTCCACTTTGTTTTTTTTCCCGCTCAATTTTATTTTACTTTATTATTTTTTCGCACACATAAAAAAACCACGAAGAAATTGCATCAGTTTGACAGCTGTACATGTTTGGCTTCTCTGATGATCATATTATTTTCCCGCTTCTGCCTACGGTTAAAATCAGAATCAAAATCTCAATGACAACCACGGCTATCAAGCGCCATCTTAAGAATCTCACTGCAAGGGCAGTTACGGTATGGTTTCGCCGACCACCAATACGGTCAAGACACTTTAAAGACACTTCAGATATTCAAATGAATTTAACACTTTTATTTTTCGGATTGAGTACCAAATATTAAATTGCCTTATGCTAATCCAGTAACCAAAACTATTTGATAATTCATTATAATTGTTGTCATGTTATAACGAAGGGTAGGAACTCATATGTCTTGGCTATGGCGCAAAAAGTAAATATCACATAATTTTTAATATATTTTAAATTATCAGTTTCCTATGATATATAAGAAATGATAAAATACGAAATTTAATAGCTTCTGACGATTCATATATATATATATATATATATATATATATATATATATATATATCACTTTACACATTATGAAATGGACAAAATCCGGCAATTATTTTAAGACATTTTTATGTTTATACATTCTTTTTATAGATACAAATATTTAAGTAAATCCTCTGTTTATAATAAACAGTATTAAACAACATTTACTGGCTTGAATGTCCGAGAGTTTTTCACAGAAAATATTCGTCCTCAGGAACCGTCATTTAGCTTGACGTGCCTTTACCGATTTGGCCACAGAGGCGCGTTCGGTTAGCAAGGTCAATTTATATATATATATATATATATATATATATATATATATATATATATATATTACTAGGTGGAAAGATTTCGTGTGACGCATCTCTACATTTAGGACATTAACAGACTAGAGTGATGTGTATGTTGTGATTACACATGCGCAGGAAATTTTTGATCATTTAAATTTTAAAAAAATAAAATAAAATTTTTTAAACTATCCGTCAGATTATAGAATCTGCCAATTTCATGTAGTTTCTTTTTATATCTGTCTATATTTCTGAGATGAGGTATTATGTACACTATTTACATTATTTGGACTATTGTCCTCATCTTTTTCGCCATATTTATTACAATGTTTCGGCCGTTGTACGCTCCAGCCTTCTTCAGGTGGTTGGAATGTCGAACTGAACCCTTTATTTCGCTCACTGGGTAGACTGTTCTAGTTCCGCGTGCCATGTCTAATGGATGCAAGTTATCAGTTATCGCCTGTTAATTCCCCTCTCCAAGTTCTCC